TTCCCCCAGCTGTGAGCCTTCCAACCTTCTAAGTATTCCTTTATATGTGGTTCAGAGTTCTGGGACCATCCCCTGAGCCTGCTTGTTCGGGTATTCTGTGTTGTTGTTGGCGGAGCTCTCTGCTATAGGTCCACCCAATCCACCATCTTGTTTGTTCTCCTCCTGTGGCAGTCTCTTGAGCAGCATTGCATGCTGGACCTGCTCAAAGGGAGAGGCCGACCTCCTGCATCATGCATTTCTTGTTTGGTTTTCAAGTCGAGCAGCAACCGTAGCCAAGATTTCCTAACCAAGTTCTCAGGAGGCCTCAAAAGTGCTAAAGAAAAGATCAGTCCACTCCACTTGTGTCTGTTCTATAAGGACTCAGTGTGTTATCTTGTTTTTAATGGGGTCCAGTCACGTGTTGTACCTGCCATATATCAGCCCTTCCTTGTACATCCACAACAGGATGATGAGATCTCTGAAGCAGTGGTCCAGACTGGGATATTCTGGGTTGGAGAGGACATGGTTTATTTGCACTTTTAACTAATGGAGAGGTCTCAGAATGAACTTCTCTGGGCTGCAGCCACCTTTCCAAACAGAATGCTGTTTGCTGTCAGAAGATGAAAGCTTTATGAAGTCAGAGTAAGCAGTGTCTGAGTCATAACTTCCTTATTATTGATGCTGTCTTTCTTTGTCACCAAGAGTCTAGCAAAACATTTTTCTGTCCTCATCACTCCGCTCTGAAAGTGGCCAATGTTACCTTCCCTGGAAGAGTTTTGATAAAGTGATCACAACAGAACAGACTCTGATTTTATAACAAAGCCTGTAGGGAGTGGAGTGTTCCGGTAACCTGTGTGTTTTATATTTACAGAGCTTCTCGAAATAAGTCTGAGAAGAAGCGACGGGACCAGTTCAATGTTCTCATCAAAGAGCTTAGCTCCATGCTCCCTGGCAACATGCGGAAAATGGACAAAACCACCGTGCTGGAAAAGGTCATTGGATTTTTGCAGAAACACAATGGTAAAGGATGTGCTTTCTGGCTTTATTCCATTCCTACCCTCTGCATTTTATGATGACTTCACCTAACCAGGTCTCTCTTCCTTCCAAAACCCAGTCCCATTAGTCAATGGCTTCCTGTTTCAAATGTACCCCACCCTCTCTCTTAGCCCCAACTCCAGCAGGTTTGGGAGAGTACACTAACCTCCCAAATTGCTTTAGGAGCCAAAGGAGAGACTCGAGAGCAGCCTCACAGAGAGTGCCCAGCTGCAGCAGGGTGGGATTAACAGTAGGAACATCTTCATTCAAAATATCTAGAACATGTTCATTTGCTGTTGTTTTCCCTGAACAACAGTCAGCCCTGAACAGATGCAATACCCATGTACTTTTTTTCCACTGGTTCAGACTTACTGGTTTCTCCATCTTCTTTGCTAAAATCACTGCCATCAAGTCAATTCCAACTCTTAGTGGCCCTACAAGACAGGATAGAATAGCTCCCTAGGGTTTCCAAGACTATAAATCTTTATGTGAGCAGACAACCTCATCTCTCTTTCAAGGAGAAGCTGATGGGTTTTAACAGCCAATCTTGTGGTTGTTGTTGTTGTTAAGTGCCATCGAGTTGATTCTGACCCACAGCGACCCTGTATAGGGTTTCCAAGGAGCAGCTGGTGAGCTTGAACCGCCAACCTTGTGGCTCAGACCGTCTAGCACATTAACCCACAGCGCCACACCAGGATTCCTAACCTGTGATTAGCAGTCTGTAATGTTAGGCTCTATGTCAGCTTGACCAGGCCAGGATTTCCAATGGTTTAGCAGTTGAGATGTGCTTATTTCCATGGTGATGAAACCTAATACAGGCATAGTTAACTGTATGATGGTTGGCTATGAGCAGCCAATCAATTGAAAGAATGTTTCCATGGAGGTGTGACCTGTTCCCAAATAACCACCCCCCACCCCCCACCCCTCTTCTGCTGGGATTTTACAATTGTAAACCATTTCCTTGATAGGAACTTCTCTTTATATACATACATAAATATGTTTCACTGGTTTCGTTTCTCTAGAAAACCTGGCATAAGACATAGCCCAATACTTAACTCAGAGCAGTATCAGGGTTCTTCCTTTGTTACTGCCCTTAAATTCTTTGGGCTCCTGAGCTATATGATTAAAAAGAAAAATTGAGAATAATTTAGTTTTAAGTCCTTTTTTTTGTTTATTGGGATAATTAACGCATCATAAAATTCACCCTTTTAAAGCATGCTGTTCAGTGGTTTTTAGTATAGTCACAAGATTGTACAGCCATCGCCACTATCTAATTTCATCATCCCAAAGAGCACTCATATCCATTAGTTGTTAGGTGTTGTCAAGGCGGTTCCAACTCATAACGACCTTAACACAACAGAACGAAACATTGCCTCATCCTGTGCCATCCTCACAATCTTTGTTAAGCTTGAGCCCATTGCTGCTGCCACTGTGCCATTCCATCTCATTGGGTATCTTCCTCTTTTTCACTGACCCTCTGCTTTACCTAGCATGATGTCCTTCTCCAGGGACTGGTTCCACTTAATATTGGATCCAAAGTATTTTTCTTTGGTCTTCCTTACTTACTGTCCAACTTTCATATGCATAGGAAGCTATTGAAAATACCATGGTACCTTAGTCTTCAAACTGACATCTTTGTTCTTGATCAGCTGATTTGCCTAATGTAATACGTCATTTGATTTCTTGACTACTGTTTGCATGAGTGTTGATAGTGGAGCCAAGCAAAATGAAGTCTTTGACAACTACAACTTCAGTCGTTTCTCCATTTATCATGATGTTATTTATCCATACAGTGGTGGTCTTTAATTTCACCCCATTCCCCCTCCCCCAAATCTTGGCAACCACACGAATTTACTTTCTATCTCTGGATTTGCCTATCCTGGGCATTTCATACAAATGGAGTCCTATAATCTGTTGTGTCTGGCTTTTTTACTTAGTGTCCATATGGTAGCATGTGTCAGTGCTTTATTCCTTTTGAACAGTGGAAGTGTAGTGATGTGCCACACTTTGTTTATCCACTCACCAGTTGATGGACAGTTGAGCTGTTCCCACATTTTAGCTTCTGTGAATAATTCTGCTATCGACATTCATATACAAGTTTTTAATGGACATACGGTTTCTGTGTACAGTGTGAACGTCCGCTTACTGATAACTCAGACTTGCCCTTTAATGTTATGTAAATTTACCGTACCTTTGAAACAATTAAACCAACTCCAGGTGGTGGTTATGTGCCATGGAGTCGGTTCCAACTTATAGTGACCCTTTGTAGGGTTTCTGAGGCTATAAATCTTTACGGGAGCAGAAAGACTCATCTTTCTCCCGTGGAACAGCTGGTAGTTTTGAACTACTGACCTTGATTCGTAACCACTGTCCTATGAGAACTCCTAACCAACCCCTAGTAACTCCTCACTGCACTCCTTCCCAGCAACAAATTCTTCATCACAATCACCTTCACTTACTGCACGTACAGTTTTTATTTTGCGCTTTCTCTAGCACTGGACTAAGGCTAAGAATCATATGGACTTGTTCAGATTTACCTACATATTCTCTTTAAAGACACACTTGGGAATGGATCTCATTCATAACTTAGGAACTGCCTGGAGATGCCTAGGAGTAGAATTGCTAGGTCATGTGATAACTCATGAGAACTGCCAAACTTCTCTACAGCAGTTGTACCATTTCATATTCTCATCAGTGATGGATGAGAGCTCCGTTTCCTCATACCCTAACCAAATTTATTGTTGCCCCTACTGGTTGTTTTTTTTTGTTGTTGTTGTTGTTTTAAATTATAGCCTCCCTAATGACTAATAATAATAAGAGCCCTGGTGTGGCGCTGTGGGTTAATGCACCAGACTGCAAAGCCGTTTGAACTACAAATTCAACAGTTGAAGCTCACCAGCTGCTCCTCGGAAACCCTATACAGGGTCGCTATGGGTTGGAACCGACTTGACGGCACTTAACAACAACAGCAGTGACTAATAGGAGTCCTGGTGTGGTACTGTGGGTTAATGCGCCAGACTGCAAAGCCGTTTGAACTACAAGGTCAGCGGTTCAAGCTCACCAGCTGCTCCTTGGAAACCCTATACAGGGTCGCTATGGGTTGGAATCAATTCGACGGCACTTAACAACAACAACAATTACTATTGATGTTGAGCATCTTAGGTACTTTATTGGTCATTTGTATATTTTCTTTGGTGAAATGTCTATACAAATGACTTCTCCATTTTTAAACCAGGTTATTTATCTTGTAGCTGAATTATAAGATTTCCTTGCATTTTCTGGATACTAGATCCTTATTACATGTGTAATTTTCAAATATTTTCTCCCATTCTATGAGTTATCTTTTCATTATCTTCATGGATGGCATCATTTGAGGCGCACAATTTTAACTTTATGAAGGCCAGTTTATCTACTTTTTTCCTTCTATTGTGTTGTGAATTATGTCCCCCAAAATACGTGCTGTAAATCCTAACCTCTATGCTTATGCTTTTAATCTCATTTGGGAGTGGGTTGTCTTTGGTGTGTTAATGAGGTAGAATTAGTGTAGCGTATATATTGAGCCAATCCCTTTTGGTATATAAAAAGAGATTAAAACAAGTGAGCAGAGAGATGAGGTAAAATAGATGCCCAAACACCTGTGTCTCCCTAAGGAGCCAGGAAGCAGAAACTGAAGAAAGAAGTGCTTGCCTCTCCGGTTGACAGAGACAGAAAGTCTTCCCCTAGAGCCAGCTCTTCTAGCCTCATAACTGTGAGAACACAAATTTTGGTTTGTGAAAGCCATCCTCTTATGGTATTTCTGGTATATAGCACTAGATAACTAAGACAGAATTTTGTAGTGGGAGTGGAGTGCTGCTCCATCTGATACCTAAAATGTGACACCGTTTTGGAATTGGTTAATGGGGAAAGTTTTAAGGTGTCTGATAATAAAAACCTACCTAGATTGTCTTGAAGAGACTATTGGTAGAATTATGGATGCCAAAATCAATTTAGGTAAGGGCTAAGAAGGAAGTGAGGAGAGCAGTAAAGAAAGTTTCATCTTAGAGCATGTAAGGGACTTCAAAAAGCTTGTGGAAAAGTTGAATTAAAAGATAAGGGGATTTTTCCATGAAATTTTTGAAGCTCCTTCACACATATGACAACAGTAACAGAAGATTGCTAGAAATGTGGGCATTAAATGTGCTTCTCATGAGGCTTTAAAAGAAAATGATGAAGATGTGGTTAGACAATGGAGGAACGGTGATACTTTTTAGACAATGGCAAAGAGCTTGTCTGAATTATGTACATGTGTTTGGTGGAGGGTAGAATTTGTAACTGGATTTGAACTTGGATATCTGGTGGATGAGATTTCTAAGCAAGCTCTTAAAGGGGTGTGTGATTTTCCCTTGTCATTTAGAGTAAAATGCAAGAGGAAAGCAATGGATTTAAAAATGAACTGTATAGAATTAAAACAGAACTTAAAGATTTGGAAAATTCTTTTGTACAAAATAAAGATATGTGTCCTAGATTGTTCACTAAGGACACTAAGGACACAATCTCTTATTAAAGAGATGAAGCTTGTGACTAATGAATCTAGCCAACTACCACAACAGAAGACCCATCATCTGAGAACTCAAGGAGAAAGTGGGAAAAGCACTTATTACACTGAGGGGCTGGCAACCAATGTCATAAAACAAAATGTATATAAATTGTTGAACATATTTGTTCTATATACTTTCATCCAAGCTATAATTGAAAATAAAGAAAACCCATCAGCTTAGACCAAAGGGGACAGAGGAGAGACCAAAAGGAAAGAATGTTATCTGTCTTTTGGAATTCTACTGGCCAAAAACAGGCCAAAGGAGCTCTATCCATTGTCCCCAAGAAAAGAAAAGGAAGCAGCTCAGATATCAACAAAATTATTGGAAGGAGCACAGTTAGCAGAGCCTTCTCAGTTTCAAAGGGTGGGGCCACAATCTTCTGGATCTCAGATGATGGGGCCACAGCCT